GGGTCATGTTGAGCTTCTCATCAACCAACACCCCCAAGTCCTTCTCCTCAGGGCTGCTCTCAATCCATTCTCCACCCAGCCCGTACTTGTGCTTGGGATTGCCCCGACCCACGTGCAGAACCTTCTGGCCTAATTAAGGCCACACTCCAGCAACAAAAACTGCATGGGCAAAACTCTCAGTTCACTGGGAGAGCAAGGCCCCAGGGTCTCGCAGATGGCTTTGAGAAGGGAACAAAGACATGAGCCCAGATAATTCAGGTAAGGTCGGCAAATCCAGCCCACACACCAGGGAAAGCTCCTGACTAGCCGTGCACACCTACCGTTGATAATCCTGGCCACCCGCCACAGCCGCAGGAGTATCAAGAGCCCGACAGCTTCAAACTCATGCTCCCGGAAAATGAGGACGACATCGAGGATGAACGACACGATGACAACAATCCCATCCAGCACTTCAAACTTGTGGTGGAAGAACTCTCGGCGGTAGACGAAGACTTTAAACCCCACCTCAACCAGGAAGATGGTTAAAATGGAAAGGGAGAGGTAGTGGAAAACCTGAGAAGAGACAGGGCAAGTTCAAGGCCAGGAACACCTCCTGCGTGCATGCGAGTGGGGCAGGCTGGAAAACCTCCACTGCTTGAGGGCACGTCTGATTTGGCTCTACAAGGAGGGCTGGGGACTTTTCTTCTGCTTTAAGGGACAACCAGAGCAAGCACAGCAGGGCAGCCAGCGACTTTGGGTAAGCCAGACCAGGAGGTGTGAAGACAACCAGAAGAAGAGTGGCAGGAGCAATTCAGCTCTGCTGCAGCCCAGGGAAACATGAAGCTGCTGCACAGACCAGCATGAGCTGAGCCAGGTCGGCCCTGCACACTGCAGGGCTGTCACACGAGTCCCTGCGAGACCTTTGTCTGTGTGCCTGCAACTGCTGGCTCGGCAAGGCTGAAGGTCAAGGTCCTGCCTGCCTGGTTGTCCTATCTAGTGGGCTTTGAACACCAAAAAGAGGGAAATCATGGTTCACATTGATACCTCCCTGCATTTTACCTTTGGGGTTATATTATATTTGTCCGGATGGATGATTTTCAGGTCCATAAGCAACTCCCCGAGGACCAGCAAGGCATCCAGGATGACCAAGCAGACAACCAGGATCTGTTGGAGGAGAAGAACCGATGTGAAACCCTCTCCCAACAGGGGCGGATCAGCAAGCAGAGCCGACGCAGCCTTCAGCTAAACATGCCCCAACACTCACATAGCGTGCCTGGCCAGACCCTGCCCTGTGTCCCCAATTCAGCTGGTTGCATTTCATGGAGCTTTCTGTTGCTCCCACCCAGGACTCCCACTCCCGCAGCCCCTGCTCAGTGGGTTATTCCTGCAGAGTCTCGCCCACACAAAACTGCTTGGCTCCCCACCAAACCCATCCGTTTCCCACCGCTTGGTGTGTGTGTGTGGGGGTCTCGGGGAGCTTGAGCTGGGGGACAGCACATGCCTCT